ACGACGAATGCTCTTTTAAGCTAATGAGAACGTAACTCACCCGGTTGTAAAATCGCAGAGTAAAACAAGCCCTCGTAGATTGTTCGCGGCGCAGCATTAAAAATAGGTACTAAAAATGTAAAAGCAGACTATCAACGTTACAAAATGATTCTGAACGGTTTAACGGAGCATATTACGCGAGTCTGCGTCACGATGGAAATCAGATCGATAATTTCTTATCTCCGGTGAAAGCTACGTGGTCCTTCGCGAACTTCCCGACGTGCTGAAACTTTAGTCGTTAAGGAATTCCTTCTAGTTTGACTTACTGTAATTGATACGAATAACCGAAAAGCTTTTTGTTTTCCCTGGAAAAGTCGATCGCTCAGCGAACAACTGTCGACGCGCGTCGCGAGAATCGAGAGCGAGTGCATCATCACGAAGGCAGATTATTTATCGTTCGATATTTGATCGATGACGACGCGACATCGGTATGCATTGGAGTTGACCCTCGAAAAACACCCTCCTTCGCAGTACAGATAGTGCCAGTGCTGCCGGCGTAAGAAGTAAATCACAAAAATGGAAATCCACGATATCGGATTGGAATCAATATTGAATGCAGATTGAATCCCAGGCTCTCTCACTCCTTTCCCTTTTTTTTCCCTCCGCGCGTCTCCAGCCGTGCGAGGCCGCGAGAGGGCGAAAAGGTGCGGAGTGACGGCTTCCATTAGGAAAAAGTGACTTACGGCGCCGATCGACAACGAAAGGCACTTTTCGTCCTGCTGAAATGTCAGGCCAGTTCGCGAAAATTTTATGCGTAACAAAGGTTACCACCTGACATGACTGCGAATCGAGGATGTAGACATCATCCGGCACGAAAGGAACGGTATGATGCCGGTCGATCGTACGTCATTTTTTTATGAATTTACCACGAGTGCATTCATTCTTCGTGCACCACTCACGTTTCGATCGTAGCTCTTCTCTCAGCCCTTCCTAAAGCGTACAAGTGTATAGTTAAATAAAAGAATGCGACAGCGAAAGAAAGATTTCGAAAACAACGTAATTTTTTTTTTAAATTATTTGACAAAAATAATAAGATTATTAAATTGTTCCTTTCTCAGAACCCGTGACACTATACGTGGCACGTGATGAGAAGAGCCTGAGGGAGATCCCGTCTCCTAACGGTCCAATGCTCGGCATTACTATTTGATGAGATAAAAAGCGCCGCGGTGGCCTCGACTCGTGAATTTTTAAGGAAGCCTCGCAGGTACCGTTACGTTCCTCGAGTTTCCGAGGTTAGGGGGTGTCGATACTCCAGGGATGCCACAGTAGTCTTCTATCTTTAATATTTTAGCATGGTAAATTATACGATTTCTCATCCCCTTCCTTGTATATACTGATCTTCCACTTTCTCTTCTTCCTTTGACGTTCATAAGAACTTTGATCCACGTAAATGTTTTTCTATTTGCTCTCTGAAAGGCAGTACTCATAAATATGCATATTTCGTTTATTATTTAAGTAAGAAGAGATACTGTTTCCAGTATTACGTATTTCTGCAGATGATATTATGTTTTTGTTAACAAGAATTAGTTACTAATTTAGTGATTTGCATAATATCTCGAAATGGGTCATGCTTAGAAATAATTACAACCCGTTTGTGTGTCTTCACTGTTACATTTATAATCGCTCGGCGCCGATATCATTGAAAGCAGTGAGCTGAAAAGGCGGAAATCAACAAAAGTTGAGGCACGCGGTTGGCATTGGACGTCTTCGTTTCGAGGAAGCTAATCATCTGTGCAAGTTGTTTCTGGTTATATTGCAGAAGTGCATTCACATGTGTGCGTACACACACACACA